AGAGAGAGAGAGAGAGAGAGAGAGAGAGAGAGGAGAACATATTGATAATGATTATAGTATATAGATATAATTATTAATACAAATACTATAAAAATACACCATTATCATATTTTAATCTTGCAGACTTAACATACAAAGAATTGACAGAATGTCGAAACATGGCAAAAGTGAAATCCAAATATGTTGTTGAATACTACCACTCGTTCATCGACCAAAACTATCTGTACATACAAATGGATTACATGCCCTATAATCTGGGTGACCTTATAACCAAAAAGACCCAGATATTCAACGGCAACCCCTATTTGCATCCGTACGAGTACTACATATCGTGCGAAATATTCAAAGAAATCTTACAATGCGTTCAGTATTTGCATGGTTTGAATCCACCCATCATTCACCGGGACCTCAAACTTGAAAACATTATGATATCCATGAATAATAAACAAGGTAATTATATTAAAATTTGCGATTTTGGTTTGTCCATGGCGACTGTTACCAAAGAGAGTGACATTGTGGGTACTTTACGATATATGGCACCGGAAGTTAGAATTTATCCTAAATATTCACCAAGCTCAGATATTTATAGTGTTGGAGTATTAGCGTACGAATTATTTAGCTTGAATGTTTGCGAGTAAGTATTTTTATAAAAATCTTAAAACTAATAATCTGTTAATTAATAATTATTTAGGTAACAACCTTAAATTTTATATTTAATTGCCAATAATATTGGTATATTTTATATAAGCAATTTAAAATGAAACTTAACCAAAATAATTATATAATACTGTAAATATATCTGATAGGATATTATGATAAGTGTATTAGAAAAAAGCTTTAACTTTAAGCTTATGTTTAATAACAGGGATTTGTGCGCGTTTCATAAATATTCAGGGGATATTTACAAAGTTCATTTTGAATGCCTGACAACAATATTAGATTTAATGGTGGAAACAATTCCTAATAAACGCCCTTGGTCCGATAAGATATTGTCACAATTAACAGAATGGACTTTGGACAAGGATATCCTACTTAAATATGTCTCAGATGTGAATATTTTATTTAAATCAATATTAAATTTCTATTTTAGGCTTAACTTGAACGTGCACAACTTTTTATCTACCATGTTTTCATTAAGATTACGTTAGAAATTTTAACATTTAAAAAAATATTTTCATTATTAATGAATAACTAACTTTAATTAATAAATAGATCAAATTAAATATTTATTGTTAATACCACACAAATGATACAATACTAGTGTAATATCATTGATATTATAAGTTGTCTAATATTATCGTAATAAATATAATAAAAATGTCATATATTTTGAGTTTTAGATAATACAGTATATGAATTATTTTGTCAATCAAAGCTAAAATATTTATACACGTACATCTGATAAAAACAATTTACTTAATACTTTGCGTTATAGCATTATTTGTATTATTAGAAATACAATAAAATTATAATTATTAAATCCAGTTCCTAATTTTTAAATAAATTATACATTATAAACAATTATATATTTAAAAATTATATTGCTAAAAAATAATTTGCAATAATAAATAAAATTTTTAAATATACCGAACATGTTAATCTATTACTATTGAATAAAAATCCACTTTAATTTATCAAGAAAAAATATTTATTAATATCATAAAACTTAACTACAATAAATTGATATTAATTTTAGTATGGGTACATGTATAAATAAGGGCTGGGCTCGTAGCTCAGTTGGCTAAGCGCAGCGCTAGCTTTACTGAGGCGCTCGGATTCAATCCCCGGACTCGGATTACAGGCGTTTTTTCTAACCCTTCTATACTACGGGTTGCAGTTTGCTGGCTGATCAGTCATACATGAGTCTATGGCTCTGATGGCTCATGATAAGAGAATCCGGATTTCCCTGCACAAGAAGGGGGTATCGACTGAGAGCAAAGGTCGATACTAAACACGTACAACATATACACAGACAACATACACAACACTGTGATCCCCTTTATAGTACTCGTTGTGGAATAAAGGGATTACTATCACAACATTCTAAAGTCTACACAATTGAATCGATGTTAACTAAATAAATATGATATATAATATGACATATGTAACTAATTTGAAATGTAATACAAATGAATAACATTTGATTCAAATAAAAACATTGAATATAATTTTTTTTAAATGTAAATAATGTTACAGTATCATTTTGAAAAAGTGAATCACGACATTTATAAATATCATTATGAATAATGTTCATGTACGGACTTACAAAGAGATATATTTGCTTCAAATATTAACATTTAAATTTATTTAATTATGAATTATAACATAAATGTCATAATCAAAAGTTATATGTTAACATGGCTATTTATGGAATGCAAGTCCCTTATAAATAATATTTCTCATACGGATAATAATTTTAGAAATATATCAGATAATGATTTGCTAATCAAACTATCGGCATCTACTATTGAACCTTGGGGGATTGAACCTGGTTGCGAACATTGCAATAAACATGATAAAATGATTTGCATCAAGGACTACTGCTATTGTCAAATAGATCCGCACAAATATCATGGACAGGTATGTTATAAATAAAATTACATAATATATTTGTTATAATTTATCTCAATAATAATACAAAATATAGCCTATGAATCTTATGTAATAATTATAAAATTTAGTTTATTATTTATAAAAGTTCAGCATGTTAATTTAAATCAAAATTTAATAGCCGCCCACTAATCTACCAGTTCCGTACGGTTTGGTAAAATCTGGTTGCGATGAATGTCACCCAGGTAGTAATCTGGCTTGCATTAATGACAATTGTTATTGTCAAGCAAATTACTATCAACGCGAAGGGGTATGTATGCAAATATAATTGTTGAATGATACAAGCTAAAAATAATAGTATTAAATTAACCATGCTACATTCAGACGTGCGTTAAGGAGGATTGCAAAACGGACATAATGTGCGCACAAAACGGCGATTGCCTACGCCACTGTAATATGACCTCGCACAAATGTGAATGCGAAGTTGGATATATGGCAGATGATAAAAATGGCCATAAATGTGTTCCTAACCCACCTCCACATAATAGGCTACCACCAATTGAGGAGTTAACGTTTTGGCTATGGATCGGATCAGGCACGTTGGTAGGCGTGTCTGTCCTTGTTACGATTATTAGTTTCTATTTTTGTAAATGTTGTAGGACATATTGCCTAAAAAACTACCAAACTCCTAATTTTTGTTGATAATAACAATATAATACATATACGAGGGCTAAATCATAAATAATATAAGCAAGTTAACTGTTTTATTAAAAGGTTTTTCTTATAGTTTCATTCAATAATAGTAAACATTATTTGTAATAATTATTTAATAGAATTTCTAAATAAACAGTTACCGTTTTTTATAAAATATATTAGTGTATATTAATTTATTTCATTTTTTAATTACAATTTTTATAATTTTTTAGATTTGAAACAATCTGTTAAATTTATAATTTTATTTAGTAAATTACCTCGTTTGTAAAAACTTTGCTTATTTTTAAACACATAAAATGTAATTAATACAATATATAATTACCAATTGAGAAATACATTTTTAAGACGCTTGAAAATTGATTTAATAAAAAAAATTAGCAAGTTGATAAATTTTGATCAAGTTAGAATCTTTCTGCAGACACTGACCATAATTTAATCAGAGTAAAATTTACATAATTACTTACAATTATGAATAATGAACTACAGTTTAAATAAATATTCTTAAAATATCATAGAGTGCAATTTACTTATAGTTAAATAAAAGTTTTATTTTTAAAAATAGTAATTTAAAAATTAATTAAGTTTAATCATTTTAAGTGAATGCATATTACATTTTCAAATTTATATTTATAGTTGTAATTAACTTATTACAGTTTTGCGATCAAAAAGCGTTATAAACATTATAAACTTAATTATTTGTTAATATAAAACTTGTTTAATAGTTATTTATATTTATTTTTATGAATAATTATTTTGAATATATAAAATATTAAACAATTAGAACTATAAATATTTATACAAATTATCTGAATTAAACGCTAAAGTTTTACTGAATAATTTATCCAAATACAATCTTGGTTACGACAAATAAAGTATTATTTAATTATTATTTTGTAGATTTAAATATATGACTTCTATTACAGGTTTGAATATTAATTTATCATTTCTAATAATAAGATAAATAAAAAATATTAGTAAATCAATGTAACCAATAAAATGTTATTTACACTGAAATGTATAATGGTAATAAAATTTGTATAAATATTTACAGTTTAAATTGTTGCATATTTTATATATTCAAAATAATTATTCATAAAAAATAAATATAAATAACAATTAAAAAAGTTAAAATGGTTCGTATATTAAATGTCGATATTAATAAATGAAATTTTTGAAAACTATTTTATTTTAATTAAACATTAACAATAGCAGTTTTATAAACATTTTTGTTAAGTAAAACTTTATTAACCAAAAATAAATTATATCAATGATACATGGTAAACTTTGACTGATTATTTAAATTAAATTTTAAAATAATCACAATACTATTATATTGTTTTTACAAAAGTTATTTACATTAAAGTTAATCAATAAAATGTCAACATCATAATAATTTAAAATATAAGTCTTAATACATAGCTCATTACCTAGGCCAAATATAATTTTATTTAAATATTTCCTATTAATAAATACAATCTTAAATACAAAGTAACAGTCTCAAATAAATAAAAACATTTTAATTATTTAATTATTATTATTATTATTATTATTAAAACCAAATCCGCCCTCAAATGCAAAACTCTCGATAGGGTTTCGCTGCGAAACTCTCGGCTCTCTATCCCTGACCGTCAGCGCCGGCCGTTTGCCCACAGCTATCATACACTGAACGCCATCCCTATCCCGATCGATGCCAAACACTTTGTACGCCTTTTCAAAGTCCATACCAAACATACAGTGCACCACCAGATCCCTACCCGACCCCTCCAATGCCAGTGCCATACACGCGGCCCCGGTATCAAAGCTAGCCGTAGGTATCTCCTTGGGTTTACCAGTCTCTCGGTCGACTGTCCACTTGTGGGCCACTACTACTACCAGTGCGCTAGCCGTGTGACACCATGCTTGATTAGCCGGTTTAACTATGTCCAAAAACTTTTGCCAATGTACCGTGCTACGTTTGGCGTACAAAAATCGCCATGGTTGCGCGTTACGGTATGACGGTGCCCACCTGGCTGCGTCAAATAGGGCCATGAGCTCCCTGTCCGGTATGTCCTCACCGGACATCTCCCGGGGCGATGAACGGCTCAGTATTAATGGGTGTACCGGGTGTTCAGTGTTTCGACCCTGGTTGGATTAAATAAATGATTATTAAACAATATATAAATATATTATATTTAATTATGATAAATAAACTAGCTATATAAATTTTATATGATTAATTAACCAAAAGTTTTTAAATTAAACATAATACTATAGTAGCTTGTCCAATTAAATTAAATGCTATTAAAACTTATTATTAATTCAAATTTATATATAAATTTACAGTATTAATTAATTTATATACAGTATCTGTATACTTTGTATATAAATGCTTGTTATATTTATAAGTTTGTTCAATTGTTATGTTATATAAAAATCTTATAATAATAAAATATATTTTTTAAATATAATTATTTAGTATAAATTATAATGTTCTTGGTGAAATAACATAAAATAGGAAAGTTACTAAATAAATAATTTAACAAATAACACTTACTTTTAACACCACTGGATCGTAAACATAATTAACATGATCCTTTGTCATTATGTTACAGAAATATTTTGTAACCGCGGTTAATTTATTTACACACAACTTTTTAAAAATAAATTTCTCTATTGATTTAAATAAAAACTTCACAATGAAATAAAATCATTTTATTTATTGATATTTATAATGTTGCACTAAATGAACCACAACCTTTATCAAATGTTTACCATGTGCAATATTACATATTGCACTTCACATAGTATATTTTAACGTAATACTAATGATAAAAATATACGCATGCTTAACGTTACATAATGTAATACTGTACAATTGATTTTGCTTATACAGTACTCACACAAAAACTGTATAGTAATACATAACATATACTTTCTAATGTTAAGCTATGGGGCATAGATACGCCCTTTTATTCATATCAATACATAGCGTTGTTTAGCTAAAGGGCGTATAAAACCATTTCACAGCATATGTGTTGACTTTTAATTGAAGTGACTGCATGTCTTATATAGATATACGGTATATCATATACCAATATTACCTTGAATGAATAATCAAATACCTAAATGTTAGATACTGATATTACGTTTACAATGACTTGACATTTCTAAATCAAATAAATACTTTATTTTTATGCATGTAAGTACTGTACAGTATAGTATATTAATACAATTTATTTTTGTTAAATTGTGCGAGTTACATATTTGTAACTTTAGCATTAATTTGGGTATACAAAAATATTCATTAATAATGAAGCCAATAATTAATTTTTAATTAATAAATTTTAACAAACTAGTAAATACTGTAAAGATTACAGTTTTATACAAATGACAAAAATTTTATATATAAATAATTATTTAATCACTTTTCATTAAAAATATTTAAAATTAAATCATAGTGCAGCAATATAATTTTTACAAACTAATATAATATTTTAGCATAATTGTGATTAAAATTAAAATTTATAAAACAATTAATATTATTATTTAATAACATATACTTTTACATTTCAGTAAGGTTATGATATTTGTTATTCAAATGATAAAGTGTTTTGCGGTAATATTCAAAATCTATATACCAATAAATAACTACAGTATTTAATTATTTAAAAAATTAATTTAATAAATGTTTCCCATGAGTATTTTGGGAAATTTTCATATTGACATAGTTTATATTTTAAAAATATTTATCAATATTTATAGTTAATATAAATTATCGTTAACCAATAAGAAACCAATATTAATAATTGCATTTTTTTAAAAATGTTATTATAATTTATAAATTAATAGTGACAGTTTTACAAAATTATATTTATAGAAATATTATGTTATATAAACAAATATAATCTATTAATGTCACTTGGTAAAGCTTTACTGATTATTTGAATAAAATTCTAAAATAATCATGATAAGATATTGTTCCCACAAAATAATTATTTGGATTTAACCACCAAAATATTTGCACTATGTCATATTATGAGTTAAATTAATAAAATTATTTACAGTTATTGTACAGAAAATTAATTAAAATGTATCTTGTTAAGGGATACAACCAAATTTAACAACATTACATTTACCTGTATTATTATTATTATTATCTTTGTATATCACGGTTAGTCCGGTGTGATCTCAGATATGTCGGCCACTTTTTGGTGGCAGACACGTCTGGTTAGACTCAACTCAAGTCTAGTACTTTTCTGACTGTTCTGCAAC